GACAGGACAGGGTTGGAAGTGGAACTGGGATCTGGTCAGTGTTTATTTATTGTATCTGTGAGAACATGTTAGGGACAGTGTGCGTGAGAGCTAAGGGTTCATCCTTCTTCTTCTTCCTCTTCTCCTCCCATCATCTCCCCCTTTTCTCATCTCGTTCCAAGGCCTCATAAAGGTTCCAGTGAGCTGCAGCAAACGTGTTGTTGATGTTTATGATTGTGCAGGCGCCCGAGATGCAAATGATCCAGAGACTAGGCTGCTGGATTCGACCCAGAGAGCCGTCCTGGTCTCCACAGCTGTCAGGCAAACTTACAAGAAATAACACACACAATAAGACTTTATTCCTCCACATCTTCAATCATCGCTTCACTTCATAATCATCCTTTTACATACTCACTTCCTGTTTATTTAGCTGATTTTTATTCTTGTAAAATTATTTGTTTTATATGTGAATTTTTTTAAATATGGCAAGAATGTAACACTTTACTGTGGAAATGCATTTGCAGCTTGAATAAATGATGATATATATACACTTTAAATGCAATAATAACAATGTAAACTTATTTTGTAAATGTTTAGGCCTATATAGGAGATCTTAAGCCACATAAATAGATATTAATTAGAACATAAAACCTGGTAGCAGTTTTTGATCATTTAATTAATTTTGATTAAAAAAAAAAACAACAAATATATATTTTTGGCTGATTCTAGCAGAAAATGTTGTTTTGTGGGCGAATGGAGCCTGTGCCTGTGTCTCAATGGGTGTTCACCGGTCCCGACCTGACCCAGCGGATCCGTCTGCCGCATTCCACCCGCACGCGCAGCCATAAACATCCTTCTCATGGATCCACGGGGGCAGGAAGTTCGTGGCAACAGGAATTCCACTCTTTGAAACGCATTTATTCCACGGTTGATGGTCCCTCAGCTCGGTGTCGCCTGTTTTTAGGCCTCCGCCACATATAATGCGGACTGGAACATGTTTGCTCATTTTGTGAAGCTTCAAATATAAAATAAATCAATTGCATTTAAAGTGGGAGAAATGCCGCCCTGTTTGCAGAAATGTGAGCATTCCTTCAAATTCAGAACAGTTTAAATGATAATAATAAAAAAAATCTGACAATATGAGACCTGAAAGAAAAGAAAAACAAAACACTGCACTCAAAATGGGCTTTAAAAAATGTTTTTTTCACATAAAATCGTTTTTAGTAATACTATTTTTATTGCAGACAAAAACTAAACGTTTCTGCTGCATTGAGTCAGAACAGCTTTTATTATCTCTTTTTTAATTACTTTCTTATTTACATATTTATTATTTTATTCATATTATTATAAAGGTGTTTATTTGGGAGCATCGAAACAAAAACTGAAGAATAAAGGATGTTTATTTATTCAAGATGAAAACAGACTGATATTGGCTTAACTGGGGTTTATTGCAGGACAAATAAAATCACTTCACAAACTTTATTTAACAAGGATAATAAAAAACAAAAATAAATGCATCTTCCTAAAAATACATTTCATTTCATTGTTGGTTGTTTTTTTATTTTATTTTAGTATAGTAAGGGAAAAAGTCAGAATTCTGACTTTAATCTCAGAATTCTGACTTTTTTTCATGTTAAACTGAAATAAAATTTAAAAATCAGTTAACCTTTTTTTCAGTGGCCCTAATCCTCTTCCGTAGCCTACATGTTAGTTGAAAAACGGGAACAGATTTTATTCTATTTGTTTTATTTTAATGCATTTGTCTGTTTGGCCAAAGAAAACACTTTTACTTTTAAAGAGGGGCATTCCTGAGCGCCTGTGAGGCCTGCAGTCAGTTCAAGTTTCAGGGTCCGGGTTTTGTTTACGGATTGTCGATCTGTTTACGTCTTTGTTGTGACGTGGGGCGCGTGCATGCCGCAGCGCAAACACTGGAAGGTTCCAGTTTCAGATCAGATGAGCAGGCCTTCTGAAATACCGCGAGAAAAAAACGAAAAACCAGCTTATAGAGAGAAGATCAAACAGTTACACTGAGTGTCGTAAAGGTGTCGTAAACATCAAATAAAGGTTTGAAAGATGTGATGAATGTCAGTCTGTCAGATCTCCACCTGATGCACAAAGACTACCTGAAAAATAAACTGCTATTCAGTTTTCATTATAAGGTGAACAAATTTTATTTAACTGCTCATAAATAATTACAATTTATTTTATAATCCTGGATTATAGTTAATGAATCAGTATTTATTCATCTCTGTCACTCGTTATATTTTTTTACTTAACAACAGTTATTTATTCAGTCATAATCAGATCACGTGTTTGTTATTATGTTTATTTATTTATTCGTTTATGTTCATTTAGTGATATTTACGTCACTTTTATTCGCATATTTTTATTTCTTCTTTCTTTTTTTCTATTTCATCATTTGCTTGAGCATTTATTAGTTTATTTATTCATTTAACTTTGGGTGTTTGGTGTCCCCCTTATTACGGCTTTGTTTTGTGATTCTTTTCTTTCTTGTCAGCCAGAAGCGGATTGTCTGCAAATAAATAAATAAAAAACAAACAAAATAAAACCTAAAAAATCTGCTTAGAACACATCAGACCTGCAGACATAATATAGAGTAAAGAAGAAAGTAAAGTTCCGCCCTTTCATTCATTTATCCTATTTTCTAATTCATGATCGTTTCAATTGATCTTTTTTTCCATTTACATTATTAAAGAAATTTATAAATAGATATGCAATATGTGGTGTCACTGATTAAAACTCACTTTACAATCCTACAGCATATTTTTATATTTAATAATCAGGAAAAAAAGGTCCTGAATGAATGAAAATGTTGCATTTTTTTCTGGATGATGGGTCTTTAGCCCAACTTATTGAATGATGTCATATTTTGAGGCACATGCTTACTAAACAGAGGCATTAATGATGGTGTTGAGATGATCGGGAAATGCTCTGCAACTTTAACAAGAGTTAAAAAAAAAAAGAAGCATGGCCCTCGGTGCTGTGAGGCGGTATAAAAGCCTGATGAGAGACGGTTGGCCCAGCTGCTGCTGCCCAGGCTGGAGAGTAGCTGCAGGCTGATGACACACATGCCAGCGCTGTTCTCTTCCACTGGCGCACGGAAATACACAGCCGATGGGGGGGGGGGGGGGGGGGGGGGGGGCCTCATGGGTGGTCGGAAAAATGGATATCTCTCCACGCACTGTGGGCTAATTAAGCCGCGCTTTGTCCAAGTTTTTTAAAATTATTATTATGAAACTGTGCACAAGGAAAAGTTTGCAACATTTGCATGCAACCGGTTGAGAATAACTATTAATTTTGTAATTTGGCCATAATTTACGTCTAGAATTGAGACTTTTAAAGCCATATCTCACAGAGATGGAGTTCTGGTTCTACAGAGATTTTATTTTGGTAACAAATCCTAAACTTACAGCATGCGCGTGCAGTAAACTAGATATTTACATTTAAAGATATGTTGTGTTATGAATTTAAATACCAACTATATAAAGTTGAGAATAGATTTCATTTTGATGGTTTATGGGGTTTTGTTTTTGGTGCAGAAATTATTGAATGTTTTTTATTTCATAAAGATTCCGTCAAACCTGCAGGCTGAACTTTTTCACCCTGAGTTCTCCTTCCTAAAATGTTTATTATTATCTTTCCCTTTTTATGAAACACTTATGATATATATATATATATATATATATATATATATATATATATATATATATATATATATATATATATATATATATATATATATATATATATATATATACATGTATATATATACATATATATATATGTATACATGTATATATATACATATATACATATATTATATATGTATATATTTATATACATATATATACATGTATACGTATATATATATATATATATATATATATATATATATATATATATATATATATATATATATATATATATATATATATATATATATATATGTATATATATATATATATATATATATATATATATATATATATATATATATATATATATATATATATATATATACGTATACATGTATATATATATGTATATACATATATATGTGTGTGTGTGTACATGTGTATATATATATGTATATGTATATACATATACATATATATATATATATATATATATATATATATATATACGCATACATGTATATATATATATGTATATACATATATATATGTGTGTGTGTGTACATGTGTATATATATATGTATATACATATATATATATATATATATATATATATATATATATATATATATATATATATATATATATATATATATATATATATACATATATTATATGATGAAAGACTGAAATGTGACTGAAACCCCCCAAAAAAAATTCCATGACATAAGTAGGCTATAGATACCTAGATGCATGATCCAGATATGAAATATATCACAAAATACATTTTTTTTATTTTCTTTCTTTCAAGAATGAATATAATTTACTTTAAATGTAAATATTAATATAGAGTGAAGTATTTCATGTATTTTGGGGGGTTATCAGTGAGTTGCATTGCTATGTTTGGGGTCCCCTGCTTTAGTAAACATTTTGTTAAAAGTTAGTTGATGTTGCATAACAGATATTGAGGGGAAAAAAACATAAAATTCAAAGGCTTTATCAGTACAAAACACAGTTTGTTGAATATTTAATAATGTATATTCAGGTCATCATATAACCCAAACAAACAGTTACATCTGACAATCAACTCTAACATGCTTTCATTGTAATAATCTTTGGCTTACTGGCTGTTTTTATTATTCCTCTCTTTGTTTGGATGCACTTAGTTTTTAATCCATGTTATTCTGTTTTGACTAATACACCAACATTTTAAGGTTGTGCTGAGGGGCTTATTATATTTTCATTGACTGTGTCTAAAGGAGGCGGGAAACGAGTTCAGGCGCAAATCACAGAGCGCTACGTCGCTCCGCAGAGAACATTGGATCAAAATGAGCCCATGAAGGGGCTGGGCTTGTTGCTTCCAAACCACAACCTGGGTTTCGCCTTTTGAGTTCAGTCCACAACTATTAACAGAGGGAGAAACAAGGAGCTTTGATGCAAACTTAAGGTTTTGTCTTTGCGCTTTCAACTCGAAAAATACGCTTTTCTGCGCAGAAGTTCTGTTTAAAAAAACAAAACAACAGAACGTCGGACTGGGTTCATTTGCGTTGGTGTGCGCAATGATGGCCACTTACCAAAGTCCGGAGGAGGACCAAATGGCCTTAATGATCCATGACACCAACACCACCAAGGAGAAGGAGCGACCCAAAGAGGAGCCGGACCAGGACAAGGCGGCGGAGAAGCCGGATCCGTCCCAGAAACCGCCGTACTCCTACGTCGCTCTCATCGCCATGGCCATCCGGGAGAGCGCAGAGAAGCGCCTCACGCTGTCCGGTATCTACCAGTATATCATCAGCAAGTTCCCGTTTTATGAGAAAAACAAGAAAGGCTGGCAGAACAGCATCAGGCACAACCTGAGTCTCAACGAGTGCTTCATCAAGGTTCCCAGGGAGGGTGGCGGCGAGAGGAAGGGGAACTACTGGACCCTGGACCCGGCCTGCGAGGACATGTTCGAGAAGGGGAACTACAGGAGGCGGCGCAGGATGAAGCGGCCTTTCAGACCCCCGCCAGCTCACTTCCAGCCGGGGAAGGCCCTGTTCGGAGGGGACGGCTACGGCTACCTGACTCCACCCAAGTACCTGCAGTCCAGCTTCATGAACAACTCCTGGTCGTTAGGCCAGCCGCCCACCCCGATGTCCTACACGTCCTGTCAGATGGCCGGCGGCAACGTCAGTCCGGTGAACGTAAAGGGGCTGACGGCCCCCTCATCCTACAACCCCTACTCCCGGGTGCAGAGCATGGCGCTGCCCAGCATGGTGAACTCTTACAACGGCATGAGCCACCACCACCCGCATCATGCGCAGCAGCTGAGCCCGGCCACGGCGGCCCCTCCACCGGTCTCCTCCAGTAACGGAGCCGGGCTGCAGTTCGCCTGCTCCCGGCAGCCCGCGGATCTCTCCATGATGCACTGCTCTTACTGGGAACACGAGACCAAACACTCGGCGTTACACACGAGGATTGATATTTAAACCTCTGGGACTGTCCTCTGTACAAATGAAGACTGTGAGAGTTGTTTCCTGTGATTTCAAAACAGAACCAACAGTATTTTCTTTCTTTTTTTATTATTATTTTTTAAGAGGCCGCGCTGGTGAGCTGCTTGGGTCCAACTGATGGAGAAATACGAGAGCGCGTCACAAAATGGAAGGGATCGGCCTCCGTCAGGTTGCACAAGCCTCGGACTGATGGTCACAACTTCATTCTCTCCTTACTGTGATATGAAAACTTTTTTTTTTTTGTTGCGGACATGCTGACACATCCCCACCTGCAGCTAACTTCCCCTTTCTTTTTCTTTTCTTTTTTTGGTATGCGTAAAGAGTTCTCTAACTTTTACGCACGGCTTCACACCGAGTGTTTCCTGATGAGATGATCTAAGATGGTTTTTTTTTCTAAACCAAGGCTTGAATCTGTAATTAGAGCAGGGCCCGTTTTGACCTAAAATAAGCAGCACAGATAAAGGCCTGCACAGTCCAAAAGTTCTGGGCTTTAGAAAGTTTTCTTGGGGGGGGGGGGGGGGGGGGGGGGATAACCAAGACGCGTCAAAATAAAAATAAAAAATCCAGTTCAGGGCTTTTTAAATCTCTGACTTATGTTTGTAAAGATGTAAATTCTAGTCAGTGCCAGGTTTTGTTAATCTTTTTAATTATTTTTTGTTTTTATAAATGTGATTAGATATGTCTCATTCATGTTGGGGCCATGTTACATCTTATCTTAATTAGCACTTTGCCCTGTTTTTTTTTTCTAGGTTTGTGAATTTTCTAATAAACTTGTATTTCTTAAAATAATCCAGCGGTGGTGAATTAGTCTGTTCTATGCTTCATAGGCTACGAGAACCACCGTGGACTGAACCCACTTTATGTGGCTTAGCAGACACTGTTGTTTGAGATGGAAATAAAAATTAAAGCAGCTGCGGTGCAGGAAAGAATTTAGGCGAAAATTAAAACTCTAATTTCCAAAAACATATATATAGGTTGCAGTATGGCTAAATGATTAAGTTTACATTAATTCATCCACTTTATAATAATCATACACTGCAAAAACTATCTAAAATTAACAAAAAAGTGTATTTACATTTAATTTGAGCAGGTAAATAAGATGATTTGCCAATGGAATTAGTGTTTTTATTCTTAAAATACGATAATTAGATAATATGCACTTGTAATAAGACAATATAGTTGTTGTTTTTTCATTTTAAATATAAATTGTCTTGTTCCATTGGTTCCAGTGTCTCACTTACGTCCTTAATTCAAGAAAAAATGCACTAATTTTAAGAAATAAATCACTTATTGAGATTTTTTGCAGCGTACAGTTAAGTTAAGTAACATTAATTTTGAGCCTCTTTATTGATAATACAAAAAACATTATTTTCCATCTTGTATGAAATATAAATGCTGTATGTTTTACATTATTTATTTTATATTTTATTGTAGGCTACTTTAGTTGAAGCTGAAAAAAATGTTTAAATTTCCTGGCGCTTAATGAGACGCGCATGAAATTTATATTAAAAAAATTGACTTATGGACATTTGATTACAAAAAAAATTGTATATTTTATCAGCTCTGCTCATGGATAAGATCATAATTTCCATTTCTGATCAGATAACCAACAGTAGCCTATATACTGCTACTTCTAATGATACACATAAAAACTATAAAACACTTAATTTAAAATTTAAAATTATATGTAAAGTTCCATAAAAAAGTCAACTTAATAGGATAATTCAAAAATAAAATATATAATGATAAGCAACGTTGATAATAAACTTCAATCTGCAGCTAGAGAAAAAATATTACGGATACAAAAAATATATTTAATGGATCATTTTCATCTACTTTAGTTACTTTTTAGTTACTTTTTCTTATAATTGTTTCATGTTAGCAGATTAGGACATAAATATGTTTAAGTAGATGGAAAAGACATATTAATATTTTTTTAGTGAGAATTTACCAACACGAATATAATAACAATTGTAATAATTTATATTTTAATGTTTATTAGTAAACTTCTTTCACTAAACCAACCAACAGTCAGTAAATGAAATATTTCTGTAAGCAATCTGCTCCATAATAGAAACAGTTTGAGTTCTTCATGCTGCGTTTCACGGCTCGTTCTTTAAAAATCATCACTCACTTATTACCTGTTTAACGCGCATCAGCGCATCCTGACACCTCAAACCAAACCAAGTTCTCTGCGCGGAAAACTTTCCAAACATGAAGCAGCTCTCATTCCAACAGGGACGCAACGGGCAGCAGGAGATGAATCCGCGCATTCACCTCCATCCGATCCTTCTTCTCCACCAGCAGCTGTCAAACACCAGCTCATCATCCTGCGAGAAAACAAAAAAACTACACACCCACGACCACAGAACGGGCTTTGTGCTGCAGAGAACACGAGTGGGGAGCGGACACATGTGTTTTTACAGAGTTAATAACCGCAGAAAACCTTTTGGTTGAGTAACAGGCCGCGTGGCTTTTTAGTTTTCCGTCTTTTTCACTGTGATGTTCATTTATAACAGAGATTATTACTTCATTTGAGTTTTAAAATGCAGCAAAAAAAAAAAGGAAATCAGCTGCATAGGACCCCATAAATGGGCGCTTGCATCAGTTGGATTTCTGGATAATATTCTAAACTCTTAATAATGAAACATAATAGTGAGCAAATGTGAGTTTTAACTTGTTGGATATGAAAAATAAAGTTTAATGGAGTTAAAATAGTGATCTGACACAAGTGGGTTCAGTTCTTAGACTTAGACTTCTTTATTTGTCATTTTGTATGGACAGAGTGCATGCAGAACGAAATTGCGTTACATACAGCTTATGAACGTTGCATTGATATTTCAAATGGCACAAGTTATACAAAAATACAAAAAGTGCAGCAGTGAAAGTGTGAACAGTGCAGAGGATAAGAGACAGTGTGCAAGTTGCAGTGGTTCAGTGCAAATAGGCATTTGTGCAAAAAATGCGTTATTGAAAATAGAAATGAGATGAACAATTAAAGGGCTAAAAGTTAAACGTTCAGCAGCATTTGATGCCCGATAATGTGCAATAGGTGCAGAGTTCGGTTTGTGGATCAAAGGTTCAACAGTCTGATGGCAGTTCTGCTTCCCGCAGTTTGTTTCTGGCTGAAAAAAAAAAAAAAAAAATAGTAATTCATGATTGGAAGCAGGGGCGGATTTAGGAAATTTGGGGCCCTAGGCAAAGACAGGCAGGGGGCCCCCTGAGAAGAAAACCCATAAAACAGCCCCATTCTACAGATAGAGAAATGTTAATAGAATAGACATCCATTATTTGTTCTAGGTTTTGTCCCTCTCTTCTTGTCCCTTTTTCCTCTCTATTTATCAGCGTTCTGATGGCATTTTAGCCAAAGGATTTTTATCAAAAACATAATTAATGTGCACAAATAAGGATTAGTTGTATTAACCATACATGGAAACAGAGTTTTATGGGGCCCCCAGGAACTTGGGGCCCTAGGCAACTGCCTAGTATTGCCTAATGGTAAATCCCCCCCCTGATTGGAAGTATCCCAGTTCATTGGAGCACAGAAAGTTACATGTAATAATCTCAGTTGTTGAATAAATTGTGTCATTTTTATGTTAGTGTTCTTCCTAAATTATTCTCCTTCCGACGCTGACGTGATCAAACTCAAACTTTATTTATTTATTTATTTATTTATGCATATTTATATTTCTAATAAATATTTTTTTCTAGAACTCCAAATAAAAAGAGTGAGAGCATAAAGCGCAGAAGTCTGACCGCCGCAGCGCCTTGGCGCAGGAACCCGGACGCGTCTCCATCCTCCTTTGCGCGCAGGACAGGAGCGCTGAACCGAGCCTGAAATGTAGCTGTGTACTTTCTCCGCTTCCTCACATTAATGTTTTGTAAACAATAACGTGATAAGGGCGCGTTTGAAAGGTGAGAGTATTCCAAACAAGCTCCCTGAAAAAAATAACAAATAGAGAGGTGTTGTAGAAAAAAATATATATATTTCAGCGAGAAGGTAAAAAGTCGTTATTTTAAATGGTCATTTTTATTATTTATGTTTTATTTAGGCAAAAATAGCATAGTCTAAATCTGATCAGCCATAATCTGTCAGTAAATACTCATTTCTTCAGCTTTGCCGTCGGGGCCTTTTTTCCTAACAGTCTACTGCGCATTGTCTGTGAAACTCGGAGACAAATATGGACGCACGTGCGCGCAGCCGTACAGGAGAGCGGAGGCTCCATGGAGCAGGTGAGCAGAAGCACAGAGGTTCCCAGTCAATGCAGAACAATGGGCCTGCATTATGGGGCCCTGAGACAGACAAGGTCAGCATAGGTTCATAATGGCAGAAAATTCTCTTCTTTTATGGTTGATCTTACAGTCCTCACATCTAAATCTGTACCTTATTCTTCAAAATATCTCAAATAAACACATAAATAACATAAATTTGAACAATTTAAGACAAACATTTCAAGATTTTCTTTTTTTTTTACTAAAAACTGCCCAGCTTGCTCTAGAATGAAGCTAATATGCTGTGATAAAAACAGCATTTGCAGGTATTACAAGTTAGCAGAGGTGGATAGAGTAGCATCAATTTAACATTATGTTTTACTCAAGTAAAATAATAAAGTACTCATAAAGCAACTATTTCTTGCATTTATTTAATCATATTTAGTTACTTTAACATATTTTTTCATGTTAGTATGGTAGGACATAAAACAATTGTGTTACAGTAATTGAATATGATGAAATACCAAAAATGGTTGCATTATTATTATTCTTTTTTTCAGAAACTATTTAAGTAAAAGTAAAAACTTGTACTTGGTAAAATGGACAGTAAAGTACTGACTCAAAGTAATTAAATACAGAAATATACTAATAACTAACATGATTATGAAATAATAAATTCAGGCAATTAAGACTTTTCCCAAACAATTTTTAACGTTAACTTATAATACCAATAAAAGTAAATAAATGCAGGAAAAGATAATAAAAAAACCTTCAGCTACAATATTTTCCCTGATCTAAGAGCTAAAGTTACTTTGAGTGGCTAAAGTAACCAGATATTTCACTCAAGTAAGCAGAGACACTCACAAGAATATTACATAAGTCAGAGCAAAAATGACAAAGTACTACTACTGCAAAAAAGTAGATTTCTGGAGCAGTTGTATGCCTGAAGTAAAGGTATTATTATTATTATTCTGCATGGCAGCCATTAAAAACGATATGGTGTTAGTAAAAGTAATGGTTAGAGGTTAACGATGCTTATTTACAGAGGTTACAAGTAACTAATTAGAAGCTTTATTTGGTATTTATACTTAATTTGAGTATTTATTCTTCTGAGGACCTTCTTACTTTTACTCCCTACATTTAAACAAATATCTGTCCTTTTATACTCCTTTATTTCTCCAAACTGTCTGCTTGCTTCTGTATGCTGATAAAGACGTAACAGCTGCAACAAAAGGGGGGAAATTAAACGTGCAAAGAGAACCTGTTCAGTTGGAGCTCCAGTTTACAGAAAAA